TTTCCCAAATTTTCTGATCAAGGAGATTATGGGGCCATAGAGGAAAGTGATCAATGATGTAGAGTGTGCCTAAGGAGAGTGACATGGAGAGAAAACATTCTCTCAGGCTTTCACAGAGAGCACATTGGCCAAGCAATGGCCGTGACTCATCCACATGGCTGACACTGACAAAGTTCTACAATTTGAGGTACAGGATCTCAGGATAAATCCTGAGGGGATTTCACTGACCTTATCAGACCCAAAAGCTACAACTCTTGTTGCATAGGTCCTGCTTTATCTTGGTCTTAACAATCCAGCAGAAAAGTATAAAAACAAGGTACAAAAGGTAAAGCCATATTAAAATGCTGAGCTATAAAAGGCTCAAGTAAACAACTTCTGACATTGCAAGTCATGCAAATAACCTACTACTATTATAGACTACTGGACTACATTGGAGTCATTTGCTAAATTGATGCACCTACAATATATGAATCACAATGAAATACCCATCTCTGACAAAAGTAAACAAAAAAGGGGACTCAAATGAAGGACCATTTCATATATATACAAAATAGTTAGGATAGATATGCAGCTACTTTCTCTTGTTCAGTGAGAAGAAAGATTTGTGCTAATAGTGTTTGGACAGGATATCATCTCTGCATCTTTTACTATGACTACTTTGAAGACAACAATATGCAATGTATTAGTTATTGTAACTGTCCTACTAGCCTTTTTTGAAACTGTCTCATTGCTACTTCTTTCTCAATAAAATTAATATAAAAAATGAAAAAGAAAAAGAAAAATTAAAAAAATAAAAAATATGAATTCTTTCTTTCTTGCTTATATGAAACAATATAACCTAAAATAATTAATGAGATTAGATGATTTGTATTTGGAGGGTAAGCTCTGGTGGCAGGTCACTTAACTCAAGCTTAACTACTCATCAGATGAATAATATTGAGTAAATAGTTTAACTTCATCCATCTTCAGTTTCATTGCTTCTGGAGTAGGAAATACCACAGCAGTACATTTTTATAGAGAGAGCATAGAGAGTAAATGAAACAACACATGCAGGGGTTATTGGGGTGCCTAGCCTGGAGAAGGTTCTCAAACTGGGTTCTTTGCACCAAAAGCAGCAGAGAAAAGGTGCTAAAAGAGACAGGGTCCCTGAGTTTGCTAATATAGAGTAGAAAGGAAAGAGTGGGGTCTTTCCTGTTTTGTTTCTACTGTCCTATCATTAAATGGTTTTCTTGGGCTATTATCGACTAACATTTCTTCCAAGGAACTTTCCCATCTAGGATGGCAGGTATGAATGCTAACCAAACTTGATGAAGTATTGGTAAGGTGCCTACTACACACTGACCTCTAAGGTACTATGGACTGTGTGTATACACACACACACACACACACACACACAAATTCCTAATGTGAAAGTCCATATGTGTGCAGGATATAACATGCACATAAAAAATTAGAGAAAGTATCTTCTGTAACAACTATTTTTATAGTTGGGGGATAAGTTGCCACATTAAACAAAACATGTAGAATCCTTGTCAATAGCTTACAAAAGTCTGTGTATTGGGATCACTCTGCTCTGGCAGGATTCACAGGCATTTTTTCAGAATTGATTATAGTGAAAAGTAACTGATTCTTCACAGGATTAAGTGTAGTCTTAAGATGCTCTACAGGCAGCACATTTCCTTGTTACCTGCCTCTGGGGGCAGGTTTTCCCTTCCCCTCACTCCTGGCACCCTAGTGCTGTCCAGTCACTCCAGCAGGAAGAGCAAGACAGTGACAGAGAGAGAGCAAGGTCATGTAGTATGAGGAGGACAAATAGGAGTAAAATAAGGAAGTAGAGAGTGACAAGTGGGAGAAGGCTACTGTCATCACAGATTGGGTGACCAGGAGAGCTTGCTTTTATTTAACATATGAAATTATACACATAGAATATTCATTTTAATATTTGTTAAACACCAACTCTGTACCAGGCACTGTACTGTACTAGGCACTGTGCAGAGCTGAGGTCTCTGGGGGTGGGCTTTGGTGAAGGGGCAGTTGGTGGTGTGTGAAGGCACTGGGACTCATTAGAGAAAACTCAGAACTGGGCTGTGGAGCTTTATGTGGTTCCACTGGTGTATGCAAATGAAGACTAGGTTGTAGTATGTGTGGGGTCCTGCAAAGTGCCCAGGAGAATCTTGGACAAGTAGGCACTCAGTCTACTGCAGTGTGCTAAATCAAGGTTGCTTTACGAAGAAAGCTTGGCTGCTTTGGCGGCAGCATGTGAGCATCACGGGTGTACATATAGCTTCAGCTGCCTGGGGGAACAGTCTCTTTTATGCTCTCCTCTTTTGATTTGCATAAAATTCATCCCCTATGGGACTATTTATTCATCCTTCAAAAGACAAAAACATGTTGTCTTGGTTACTTTTCTCTAGTTGCTGAGACCAAGTATCTGACACACAAAGTTAAGGTAGGAAAGCTTTATTTAGCTCACAGTTTGAGGAGGTTTTAGTTTGTAACCATCTGGCTCCAAGGCTGGGTGGCTTGGCAGAGGGAAAACACCTCAAGGTGGCAGAAAGCAGCCAAAGCAACAAGAGCCGAAGGGGAGAAGAGTAACCCTCTCTTCTCTTCTATTGTAAGCAGCCTATCCCCCATCCCAAAGGGGCTGGTAGCACTTACCCCATCTCTGTGGCCTCTTCTTGCCTGGCTCAAGATCTTTACGAGGTGAGGACCCTGCCCCCAGCTGAGTCACTTAATTAGACTTCTAGACTTCTCAAGTTGACACAAGGTATCAACAATTACACATGCTATATGTTCAAGAGGAAGTGTTCTGAAGGCAAATTATTTTGTTTTAATAGCTGGTAAACATCTCTTGGTTTTCACAACTATCTCCTACAGAAGCCTGGGCCAGAGTTGGTCTCTCAATGGCTGAATGACTCCAGGTGTTTGTCATTTTCTTGTGTCTGCTTTATGAAAATCTTTTCATTTAAGAGACAGATTCAGAACGCAAAGGCCAAAGAAAATCTGCTGTGCATTGTTTGGGTCTCTGATATGGTGAGCAGGGAGGAGTGCAAAAAGCAATCACAAACAACAGCATTTTTCTTGAGTTCATCCTTGCCTTGTTTTAATGATTTGCCTAGTTTCGAAGGCAGATTTTGTTAATTCTTCAAATTCTCTGAAAAGAACTGCAAAATTTCTCTGAACATACTGGAATGCGTTCCACATAAAAGGGCATAAAATGGAACGAAATAAAAGACTTGCTGTGGTGAATTGCTAAACACAGGGATTCTTTCATATTTCACTGAAGAATGAATATGCTTTTGTTTGTGCAGGGGGTTACTTTGGTTAGACTCAGACTCTAACCTGTGTCTCTTGGGAAGAAGCTCATATTTTGAATTCTGCCCCTACACAGCTGGCTTAGGGCTGAGCGAGCGACGCGGGCAGTTATGTACAAAACCTGGCTTTTCTCTCTCTCGGCATCCTCTTTCCCAAGATTCTCTTTCATTTCTTTAGCATTCATGTTTATCCCACATTCTTTTCTGGTTGTTCCGGCCAGAAGGACTGGATTTTCTGTGGAGTTTTAGATGGCCCATGCTTTGACTTTGGTAAGACTTTCGGGCTGAAAACTGCAAGCAGGTGACCCCGTCTATTATTACTGTCCTCTAAATTTCAGTGCTTCCAGGATTTACTTTTGTCTACTTTCCAGTATACATAATTAACTTTTTAATGCCAAGAGTTTAGAGTTTTTATCTGCAAAAAGGTCAGATTCAGTGGAGCCAGCCTTACGGAGGTCAGGCACTTTGGGGGCAGAAGAACTGTTGGTGATCCTTTTGTATTTTTCCTTTCTCTGTTTGTGTGCTCTTTGTCTTTAATTTTAAAGGCTTCCTGACAATATCTGGTATTTCCTTATTCCCATTTAAGAAATTCTATACCCAAACCATTATTCTTAAAAGGTAAATTTCATTGTAGTGTCATCAGATAGGAACGGGCCATTTCCTTGGTAACTGAACATATTGTGTCCCCTTGTCTCTTCAGTACATTTATACCTTCTTGGGAGCCGAGCTCTAGTTTCTTACTCATGAAATATTGGTTTGGTTGCATTCAAAGCAGAGTTGAGGAAGGTATCCAGTTCAGTATTTAGATTTTTAATGTGTCCTTCCACATTCAGGGAGGGCAGTAGCTCACCCACTGGGCTCCTGTTGCGGGTAACAGGTGGGGAAGCTAATCTAATGGTTTGGTTATATCTTTTCTTTAATTTTTTTTTCCGTATGGGGTCTCACTATGCAGATCAGCCTCCTGTTTTGAGCCTCCCCACCACTGGGATTATAGGCATGTGCTACCACACCAAGTCTCTAGCCTGATTTTGTTCTTTCTTAATTGAAGCTTCAGCCAAGCTTCACCCTGATCCTTTTCCCTGAATTTAAAGATTGTATGTGATCCTGGTATCATGCACTTTTTTTGAGATTTGTTTGATTGGACTATTCATTTCTTTCTCTTCTTTAATGTATTTAGTATAGGGTGTCCAGGGTCTCGCTATGTAGATCAGACTAATAGTGATCCCCCTGTTTTCAGCCTCCCAAGTGCTGGGATTACAGGTGCGCACCACCATGCCCGGTTTCAATCGCCATCTCAGCATGCCCTGGGAGCAGGGCCAGAATGTCTGGGATCAAACCGCGGCCCCTGTGCTCTGGCTAAGCAGGCACTTTAGTCCTCTGAGCTATTGATACTATTCATTTCTTAAAATGAAATTTGACTTGCACCTCAACATATAAAACAGAAAAAAAAGTTATTTTTCTCCATGTATTAAAAAAAGTTCTTTGGTAAACTTGCGAACTCTCTTCAAGAGCTAGGGATACTCCAGAGCAGATAGAGATGGAAAACCATTACTTTAGCAACAATACTTCACATGCCTTAGCTCAAACCATGTGTACAACTATCTGGTGTAAGAATTTTAAGAGGAATAACATTGTTAATCAAACTTTTTGGAGCACTCTCAATGAATCCAGGTCTCTAATCTGCAGGCAGCGTCAGCTCCCAGACACCCCACCGTATTGTGCATCAGACCCACGCTCTCCTCCACAGGTCAAAGGTGAGTGCGGCCAGCCCTCAGCACATCTGCTGTTACTCTCTGGATTCTGAATGGCACAGAACAGAGGTGTGTCTTGCTTTCCTCTGCCACCAGGTGCAAGCCACCAGACCTTGAGGGCCATGCCTGGCAGGACTCCAGCGGCTTTCCTCCATCCTGCAGCAGCCCCTGGAATGCTGTCTGCTCACCTGCAACAGAGCGTGTCTGGAATGAGCAACTCTGGCCAAAGCCATGGCAGCTTTCACAACTGTTACCCCAACGCCAGTCATCCTGTCAACCTTCTGGACCAGTCGGGGCCCTCCTATCTGGGGATAAGTTGTTCTTATCACCAGCAACCTCTTTGCAGCATCCCTGGGTACAGAGCAAGATATTTAGTTCTGAAAGATGTCAGCAGAAAGCCTCAGAGCAGTCAGAGCCCCTGCAGTGCCCTAGGAGGGTGCAGCGTAGCCAGCCCAGGAGATGGCAGTATTGAGACATGAATAGGACCAGGCCCCAGCGCTCTTGGCTTGGACAATCTCTGAATTAAAACCCCACTAAGCCCAAGGTATTTATTCAACAAAAAATAAAATGACTAAAATATTGGAAGATTCCAGGTGACAGAAGCAACAGTGTTTGTATATGCATGTCAAGGAAATTTGGGCATGTGCTCTTGAATCTTCTGTCCTTCTTTTCTCCTATTTATTTCTCCTTCTGGATCTACAAGGTGGAAAAAAATAGTAAGGGTCATCAAAGGTTGAGGCCAAACTCTGCAGGCAAAACATTCTTGAGTGTAACATGTATACCTATATTTTAAGACTGTATCTTCAGTGAGTCTTCTGCCTTTGAAAATATGGTCAGTTTATTTTTTTAAGGTAGGTAAACCTCAAATTCATTGGCTAACGGAAAACTAAGTTTCAAACTGGTAGGGTTTCAGGAATCTTAACTGGTTGGAATTGAATTTAGGAAGCAGAAAGCAAAGACCTGGGAAATTAAATTGAATTTAAAGTAACAGGCTAACTGAAGAATCCTAACCTTCCTTCTGGTTTCTTGGTTGCAGAGATTCCTTGCCTCCAACCAAGAAGAGGAAGCACATACAGATGCTGGAGGATTCCGAGGATGGCAGAGCGTGGGCCCCCTGCTCCAGACTAAGTGAGTAAACCTGGGCCATGACGAGGGCAGGGTTAGTAAAGTCTTGGCCCTCAGTTCACGACTTGGTACTAGTCTTTGAACAGTCTTAGAAAATTGTGGTCTTTCTCACAGAAGGGCAACGATAGGCTCTGGGAGTTTATTTCTTCCCTCTGTACTCATCTCTCATGCAGTTGGGGTCATACCTGCTCTCAAAAGAAGAGGTGTCCTCCTGTTTCCTAGTGTGGGTGAAATGCCAGTCCTACAGAATCAAGAGCTTGTCTCAGAGGACAAAGGCTCAGTTCCAGACCCCAGGAAATGGTACCACATCGCTGAGAGCCTATGGGTGTGCCCGCTGCTTTGTTTAGCCCTCTTTGATTTTAACACAGGAACTGACACAGATCAACACAGCAATCTTGGTAAAAATACAGAGTGTGGCTCAGTAGATCTGAGTAGGGGTCTGACACCTGCCTTTCTAACAAGTGTCTAGGTGACACCAATATTATAGTTCTTCGAAGATGCTCTGAGATGCAAGACTTTAGCTTAAAGTCTCAGTGAGAGGAAGGTGGAAAGTTGAGTCTTCTTTGCAATTACTTCACATTGAAGAGTTTCCAGTAGATCTCTGAAATTTTGTAAATGTGTTTGAGAAATCTTTCATCAGAATCATCTAGTGCTCAAGCTGTCAGCTTACTTAGGTCTTTGTCCTATGTAATGTGATATGTGAGGTTTGGAACTTAAAGTCCTGATCAATATGGAAACAGATTGGCCTTTTGGAGCCTGAAACTTTAAACTGTAAGAATCTTCCATAGTCCAAATGCCACAGCATTTTCTAGGGAAAAGGATACTACAGTGTGCCAACTTTTTGAACTACTGTAAGTCCTCAGTTGTAAGCAGTGTGAATAGCACCCCAATTCACAGTACAGTGAGTCAGCTTGGCGAAGCTGCCCAGGGTTTCCTCTTGGGGCTTCCTCTTCCACTCCTGTCCCCAAATGTAGATTCATTCTGTTCTGAAAAGAGATGCTGGGGCTTTCTTACCAGTGGGTTGCTGCCTTTGCCTTTAGCGGTGCAATCGTTGGAGCAAGACATCTGGCTTCACCTCCCACATGGCCGGAGGGAGTGCTTTGGCAGATAGTGATACCACCCTCCAGCAAGCCCGTATGTAGCTGTTCCCTGGGAGCGCGGCGTCCCCGGGGTGCTGGACTTCCAGGCTTTCTATAAAGTCATCTCTTGTAGCCTCCTTTTCCTTTCCATGGATCCACCATGGCCAACAGTCAACGTTTTCCACCAACTTTAGAAGCAAAATACCACTTCAACCCTAGCAATGCAGTATGCTAATTAGACTCCCTTTGAGGGGAACAAAGAACTCTCTGTCCACCTTGCTGTGGAAGATCACCCTAATTTCTTCAGGGATTCCTGTGTCTTTCCTGCAGTTTCTTTATGAACTTCAAATACAAATGCTGAGCAAATTCCTAGCCAGATGAGGAAAGCATCTGTTTGTTCTCCTGCAGATGCACCAGCTCACAGGGGATTTAGAGCAGGCACTTAAGAGGTTCCTCAGTGGGCCAGATGGTTGCCCAAGTCATTCTAAAGCTCCCCTCCATTCCGGGATGATTTTCTGCTGCTGTCTGTCCCAGGTGGACAGTACACTGATTTTGTTTTTCCAATCATCTTTACAGAAAGCTTAGAGAGAACAACTGAAGAGTCCCAGTAGTGAGGAAGCCATGAATTCCTTAAGTCCTATTTAAAAGATACTGAAAAGCTGACTAAAAATAATTGTTTCCAGACAACTGTTCAAGAAGGAGAATGAGCAGGTTCTCAGTAAAGGGGGCAGAGGGACCAAGGCAAGAACTTAGTCCAAATTTCATTACCATTTATACTTTCAGCTAGTGTGTTCTGGTGGAGATCTCCTGTTTGATTTTGCAGGGGTTTTACAAGGTCTTGGGGAAGGTCCACATCGGGTGGAGGCAAGAAGAGCTTCAGCCAGGTGTGTAGACAGGAGTAGGTTCGCCAATTTTCTGTGGGAAAAGATACTCTAATTCAATTACTAAGGTTTTTCTACTGACTTTATGTTAGGCCACATACATTAGCAAAGGGTTCAGGAGTCCATTTGTGGAACCAAATGTACAGTTACAGGGCTGTTGTGAGCAGACATCAAGTCTTGCTTTGAGTGCAAGGTGCCAACGAACAGGCTCCTGCTCACTGGGTCCTGGCCCCACCTGCCCAAGTAAAGGAGGGCCCCTGGCCACACTGGCAGGCTCCGATTCTTTTATGCATCTGACCTCAAATATGAAAGGCTTCTCCAGCCCCAGGCATGACCGTGGCCCACAGTGAGAGGTGTGCTGGCTAAATTCACCCGGTGTAGTCAGAAGAGTGCCTGCCTTGCCTGTAAAGATTGGGAACTCTCAGTGCATTACTTTTCTTTAGCAAATGAGTCATAATTTCGACCTCACTTATCTCTGAGACTTTTAAAAGCAAAGTATGCAAGGTATTTTGAAAAGTATACAAAGGCAAGTTGCCAGTTTTCTCTGAAGTTTGGGACTTGGGCAGTTGATTATGTTCCCACTTCTACTTTGCATTAGAATTTCTCCTGCAAGCCTCAGACAACATGAAAGGAAGAGGGCTTGCAACCCAGTTCTTCCACTTAAGATCTGTGACACTGGGCAAGCTGGGTCAGGTCCTTGAGGAGCAGTTTCCATATTAATGAGACTAAGAACCTTTGTCTCATCCACTTTAGAGATGCTTGCTGGCACCTCCTCAAGGGTACCTACAAGCAGCGACTCCACACCCAGGAATGAGACTAGCAGAAATGTGCCCACGTGATCTCCAAAGAAAGTGTCCCTCGTCATACCACCCATAGTAGCCATGAACTGGCCATTACCAGCAGCAAAAGGCCACTAACACCAGCACAAACTGTGGCCCATGTATATGAGAAAGTAAGGCAAATGAATAAGGGACTGCTGGGGTAGTAATCATGAATCTCCTAAGCGTAACATCAGGCAAAAAAAAAAAAAAAAAGCTGGGCCGTAACAGGGCATAGCACAGCATTGTGCTCCATTTCTCTAAGTTCCTCTCTGCTGCTAGATGTCAGGACAATGTGCAGTTTTAGACAGAAGAAAGTGATTATTAGAAGCGGGCATGTGGGTGTCTCCCAGATGGCTGGAAACATCCTGTGGCTTGATCTAGTGGTAGTTATACAGTAGAATTCATTATATAAAGAAGTACAGAATTGCGTGCTCATGACCGGTGTGCTTTTATTCTTGCATAGAGAACTGCAATGAAGGAAAGTTATTGAAAAAATGATCCTCCCCTTGGAGAAGAGTAAAGAAGTTAAGGACAGTGGCTATGGAGCACAAATGACTCAGAAGAGTAGTTAGTGCTAGAAGTAGTAGGGAGTCCCAGCTCTGGTCTCAGAGTTGGAATTTCAGCGTGGGCCCGTGGCTCCCAGGGCCTTTCTAGCAGATAGGCAGCTCCTAGGGAAGCCACAGCCCTATAGCTCCTGTTTGAGTGGCTGCTCTGATATGCTGGCTGTACTGATGAGAAACAGTGGGTAATGCCATTATCTTTGAGGACAGTGAAATTGCCCTTGAGCTACTGACTGCCCTACCTCTCAGCGTCTGGTGGAATAGAGCTGGCCTTTGGCCATGCAACTAGGCACATTGGCCTTTAACCACAGGGCCTGTGTCAGCTGGGATTCAGCTGTGAGCATCTGGTAGTTTCTTTACATTTGCTGGAGTACCTGGAGGCCAAGAACAGAACTGTTCCCTCATGACTCCTTAGGAATAACCAAGTCATATAACTGAAAGAAGGACAGGCAACACTGCCAGCGTCACTAACAATACCTACAGGTGGCATTGTTTAGGTGCTCACCAGTGGCGAATACCTGGGCTAAGCGCTTTGCAGACATCTCCTCACCGAGTCCCTTCACCAACTCTGGGAGGTGGCATAGGTTTATTCTAGTTCTGTAGATGAGAAACCAAGACTCAGAGAGCACGAGTAATTTTCCTGCAAGTGTCTGTGTATCAGGCGCATGTAGGTATCACTTTGACCCTTTCTTTGTTACAGCAGAGAGGAAGGAGAGAAGGATGAATTAGTTTCTTTCTTTCTCTCAATTTTGTGCAAGCAGAACTATGAAATGATTGTATTTATGTGAATCTCTTCTAAACCACTTGAGGCCAGGCCTCTGGAGGAGGAAGGACGCACAGAGGTCCCTGCACTGCCCGCCTCCAGTGCTGTCAGACGTGAAGAAAACCTTTTAGGATTTCAAGAACTCTCTCCCACAAGGATGTGTTACAAAAACTAAAAAATACATTTTGCCTGGGTGCCATTTAATGATGAGATTCCAGGAAAACACGGATTCTAGAACATTTGGGATGGTTTGGGAAGCAGTTCAGTTTGTGTATGAAGTACTCAGTGGAAATATAATGGAAAACCTAGAGGAGTGAAAGGAAAAGGCAGCCCGTGGCTCTGCATCGTCCGTGGTGTGGCTTCATGGCGCGTTCTGTAGGAGCAAACGCCTATTTCCGTGTTGCTGCTGATAGCCTGCACTTGGCTATACTAATGCCCAGAATTTCTTCTTCACTCCTGTCTGATGTCAGATAAGAGTGATGGCAGGCTTGTTAGGAAAAAAAAAAAAAGGGGAAACAACATATATATCAGTAATGTTTTACATAAACACTGACTGAGGTTGAATTGTATGGTTTTGGAGGTATATTCAAATTAAGACAGCTGACTTTAAGTGTTATGCAAAAGTAGTGATTGGCCACATGAAATTGCGGTTATTTGACCATTTTGAAATACAAAAGTGGCAATTTCTTATAGTTGATACTAACAAGAACTGTTAGCTTCTCCTGGCTTTAACTTCTGAAGTGTTTCACTTCTATGCTTCTCCGCTTGTGTAATGTTGCAAGATGAGCAGCACACACGTGTCTAATTTCTATTTTTCAGTTGAGGGAAGTAAGATCATAAGCGAATAACTTGTCTAAGTTCAAAAAGCTTTTTGGAACAACAGAATAATTGATGTCACAAACACCTGTTACAAATTAGGATATATTGTTGAAATTAACAACAACAAAATCCCTAAAACTAAAACCCTCAAACTGCCTTAAGCAATAAAGCAAAACAACAAACAAGAAAGAAAAGTTTAGAGATCTACTGAGTCCTGTGGCTTCAACATTTAGGTCTGGCTCCCAGAACTCCAGTCATACCATCAGCTTTGGTTGTCTTTCATTCTAAATTCTCTCTTCTGCTGTACTGGCTTCACTCCCACCTGGGCTTTCCCCTTGTGTCCTCCATGGTGCCAGCAGCTCTTGGGGATGTAACTTGTAGGTTTAAACCTCATGAAAAACAGTGAGCATCTTGAAACCTGAATTCTTCTGAAGTGCTGAGATCCCTCTACTTGAATGAGATTGAACCCTACAGCCGTCCTTCATGAAAGCATTGAATGCTGCATTTTTTTGATTGATCAAGCCTGGATCACCTGCCTTCTTGGGGCTTGGTATAGACTTTCTTGGGACCACACAGTAGAGGGAGGAGATACCACACAGGATTATCTAGCAGACCACGGGCCCCAGGCCGCTCTTTTCATCTGAGGACACAGGGCAGCTGCATACTTCTTACCTCCCAACGCTTGGCACCTCCCATCAGCCACTCTGCCTCACACAGGACCTACTCACTAATGTTGTGAAGCTGCCTGTGAGTCTGAGAAGAAAAATCTGGTAGGAAGAATCTAACCTGCTGGTTCCATTGCAGTGACGAGTAGGAGTCACAGCAGCAAAGTACAGGACCAGGACAGTGAGGTACAGAACAGGATGCCTGCGGACCAGTGCTCCCCTGTGCTGAAGTGGCAGCCGTACCAAAGTGTTCCTTGGCATAGCTTATTAAACTGTCATCATGAAAAACTGTAAGTGGCCTTAGCAACACCTTGGGTGGGAGTGTGTGTGTGTGTGTGTGTGTGTGTGTGTGTGTGTAGAAGAGCTAAATCTCAGCATTGAATCCAAATACTCCAGGTTGGATGCAAACCCTGGTCAAAGGGTGGATCAGCGAGAAACTATATGATTTACACCTTACGTTTTGCCTCTTATCTAATGAATAGCTAGGACCTGGGTTTTTGGCCTCAAGGAACCCAGAATTATAATTCTAACTCATAATTTACCCACTATAATACTGGAGGAAGAGGGAATTTTCCAGGACCATGTACTCAATTTAAACTAAAAGTTGAAAAACAAAATTTTCCCAAATCATTAACATTTAATTATGCAGTTAATTTAATTATGCATTTAATTATGCAGAATACTGTAGAGTACATTGTTAGAGACCATATGAAATTGTTAGCCAGTGACTACCCCTAGCATCTGTGTTGTGAATCTGCATTTCAGGTTCGTTGTCAGCGTACTCTGCATATTTTGCATGTTTAGCCTCCAGTCTTAGCCAGTGGCCTCTTTATATTCAGAGACTGAAATCAAATCATGCAAATTATTCAAAAATTAGAAAAATTTCAACATATTTTTATAACATTGTAGTTTAAAACTAAATGTGGACTTATGTATTATTGATATTACCCTTTAAACTCTTTATTCCTTATGATATATGATATAATTTGCCTACCTAAGTTTTCTCTTTTTTCCCATAATTTTATTGATAAACAAATAGCAATGAGACAGTTGCAAATCAAATCAGTAGGACAGTTTCAATAATTAACACACTGCATACATTCTTCCTAGTGGTTAATTGCTGTACAAGATGCGGACTTGACATCCTATTCACAAACACCATTAGAACAAATCATTCTATTCATTAAGAGAATGTAACTATATATCTATTCAAACCACTTTGAATACACAGACACAATCGTCTGTATACCCTTTTTTTGTTAAGTTCCATTATTTGAATATTATAAGTGTGTAAATTCAGCAAAATATTCCAAAAGAGTCCAGTAGCCCGTAATAATATTGGGTCTTCCACTTGACTGGCAATGTCAGAAGTTGTTGACCTGAGTACCCCACAGCCTACCTAAGTTTTCTGCAATTTTTCTTGTTTATAAATGCTTCCTTGAAACATTAAACTACGCCAATGGTTAAGATTTTCAAGTAATAAATATAATATAGAGTAGAAACTGTGAATGATAAATTTGAGGGTTTTCATGGTATTTTACAAATTCAAGTAAAGCAAAATTTATTACTAGAACATTTATTTGGATGAAATAGAAGGAAGAAATATTTTCTTAAAACAAAATATATGGAGTTAACCAGTCTAATGATCATATCTGAGCAGTACATTATACCTTTTTAAATTCTTTTCTCACAAAAAATTCCTTTAATTTCCTCAACCAACACAGTTCCTATTACTCTGTTTATTAAAAATCTATACAACTCTATCCATCTAACCTTTAGAAGAGCAATTTAGCAGATTAATTCTAGAAAGCTGAGCCAATGTAAAGTTCTCAGGTAGTGTCATGTACATAGTTTTACCAAATTCTTGCTCAGTGGATTTCCCTTGAGCTGCTGGTGTGCACTGCGTTTAGGAAGCCTCTGACCAAGCAGCTACTTACAGGTGATCAATGAAACCGTGACTTGATTCTTTGGGGAGGTATTTTACTTGACTTGCAAAAGGTGTGAACAGCCCTTTCCCAGAAGCCCCATTAATAGTTTGTTTCTGGAGTTAGAAAAAAATTAAGACTTAAATTGTGTGTTATAATGGCAAATATCTCACTTGAGATCCCAGGAAGTGAAGATCTCACAGTGGTAGAGCAGCGAATCCATCACCTGTGGTTCTGGGAAGGCGCTTCTTTGCTGAGGAAAGATAATCCAGCTCTAGGAATATTACTGAATTAAAAACTGGGTTCTAGATGCACAACACGAATGGAAAAACCACCAAAAGCATTTCCAATTTTTGTATTCTCTTCTCTACTTGAAGACATTATGCATTTAGTGCTTTATTTTTGTTAATGTTTTCAAGTATTTCTAAAAACGTATTATACACAAAACATTTCTGTTGAAAAAATAATGACGAAACAAAGCAAAAGTCTGATCAGTCATCTTACCACCGCTCTATTTTCCTTGCTGGCAGAACTCACCTGAGTAGGTTTGCAGCGTTGTCACCAGATTGGAAGAATAAAGAGGACGGGAACCCAGGCTAGTGAAAGCAGGTTTCCTTTAGTAGAATATTTGGCCCTAGTTAATTAAGTTAAAGCTATTCTTTTTAGATGACCATCAGTGGACTGAATACACATGCCTTCCTGTTCATACTATTAAGTGTCATAGAGCTGATAAAATGTAGAAACATTATTTGGTACCGGGAATCGAGCTTAGGACATCACGCTTGCCAGGCAGGCACCGTGCTGCAGAGCTCTATCCTCAGTCCCTTAGACACTTTATTTTTTTTTTTAAGAGGAAAGAGATTTATTCTGTCACAGACATTTCTCAGTAATGTAGTGGCTTTGCAGTTTCTAGCCTACATCTTTCTATTCCATTACAGAGGCAAAATAAAAGTTTAGAAAACACAAAGGAGAAAGACAAACTGAAGGAGTAAGGCTTCCATTTGGCAAAATGTGTATTTCTTCATGAGAAGGTAAAATACTGGGCAAGAGCCAGTTGTGCTCGGACAGATTAGCTTAATTTCCTCCCCCCACCCCCCCCCAAAAAAAAAAAAATCCAGGGATCAATTGACTAGCTGCTGCAAAAGGCACTCTCACATTCCATGTTCTTGAAATGTTCATACAGTGAATATTGTTGGAGAAAGAAAATGTGTTGAAAACGCTTGTACAATTGGTTTCTCGATTCCTTTCTTCATAGACCTGATGTGGGCTACCAAGTTGTTACAGACAAAGGATTTAATTTCTCTCCAGCAGATGAAGCTTTCGTTTGCCAAAAGAAGAACCATTTCCAGATAACGATCCACATCCAAGTTTGGGGAAGCCCAAAATTCGTTAAAACCCAAATGGGCCTAAAGCCAATAGAAATGTTTCACTTGAAAGCTTTTGGAGTTAAGGTAAAACTTTTATTTCTTTCAATTGAATTTGATCCACATAGTAAGTCCCAGTTGTCTGAAAATAAAACAAGTAAAGGCAAAAAATTGTTTTCTGATTATGTTAGCAATGTAAGTCCATTTTTTTTTAGCTACTAGGGTTTGAACTGAGGACCCTGCGCTTGCCATGCAAGTGCTTATTCTACTGAGCTATCTCCCTGGGCCCAGTCCACCATGGCAGTTCTGAAACATAACAGAAATATAGGAAGGCTTAAAATTATGTCATGTTTGGGATCTTCCTTTTGGTGGCCTACTTTTTCCTATTATTAATCTTCAGAGTGTTATTATAATACTGATATTACTAAGGATCCCATAGAAACATAGTTTACAAAAATAACTTCGTGGTGTGAGTATGTAATAGTCATTCTTATAAGAAGGTTCATTTATTTCTAACTTTTAAATTTGATAGTAAAGCTGCCCTAAACATTTGTATTCACTCATCTTTGCGTAAGGATAAATTCCAAAAGCAGTATTTACCCATCAAAGACACAAAAATTGGGGGCTGAGGAGATAGCTCAGTAGAACGAGCACTTGCCTGGTAAGCGCAAGGACCTGAGTTCAATCCCTGGTTCCGCAAAAAAAAAAAAAAAGATACAAAAATTTTTAAGGCTCTTAATGTTGGATGGTCAGTTTTTTTCAGAAAGGTTTTTTTTTTTAATGTCTTTAAGTATCTATAAACTGTATATTACAAGGTTGGTCTCATGCCCCTGTTACGTGTTAGTCATGGAATAACAAGAAGAGTATGTGGCAGGTGCTGAATGAATGAAGTTTATATTGCTTATATGTCTATATGTCATTTCCAATATGTTGTTTTTATTCTATATTATTATTTCTTCATGGTAGAATGTAAGCTCCTGAAGAGCAAAGATTTTTGTTAATTTTGTTCACTTCTTATCTCCAATGCTTAGAGCAGTTCCTAGCACAAAGTAGGTGCTCAGCAAATATTTGTAGAACGAATGAATAAATGCAGGAAAGGATGCACTTGTGCTTTGAGCTGCACTGGTCCTGAGCTTTTCTCCTGTATTCAATCATCCACTTTCTGACTCTGTATTCACCGCTTACTTTGCTCTGCTGTGTTTTCATTGTGGAATTTCAAGCATTTATTTGTTTTGTCTGCATGAAGGTGGAAACCAGTTTTCTGTGTCTTTTCGGTGAGTCACACTTACATGATACAGCCTCGCTTGGTGCCTTGGGAGGCATTTTAGTATCTCAATATTCTATGCTGGTGAGTGCTTATGTAATAAAGTTATTGTCATTAATTTACTTTTCATTGTTGCATATAGGTAGAAGCCGCCAATCAAGTAATTACTATTGAACAGTCCCAAGCAGATAGAAGCAAAAGGATTTTCAGCCCTGTTAAGTAAGAATTCCTTTTGTGAATTCCTTCGTGAATGTTTGGGAAGATCTGAGGCTGGATTCTGCTTATTTAAGATGAAACCCACTGTAGAATCTAAATCAGTAATGCTACACTATTTTAATATGGTGGTGCTTTGTTCACAAATTTAATTTGTTCCAAGATTCTGGAGAAGATGTTTGTCCCTGACGTGGGACTCGTGAACAGAAGGAAAATTTTGCCTAGCATTGTTTGTGAACTGATTATGAACAGAAGCATTTGTGAACTGAGGCACTGGGTCATTGCAATATGAATCCACATTTATCACCAAAATAAAACTGGTGAAAATCATTGGAATCACTGAGAAAAGTTATTTACAAAAGGGTTTCTTTTAAAAACTCATCCCTTTTGTTGTCATTCAGTACTAACACATTACTAACAACTTGGGTTCCTTAAGAAAGATTAGACATATCTTGTTTTTCGTTTCCCATTTATTTTTTTTATTTTATTTTATTTTTTTAAATTTTATGTATTTGGTACAGGAGGATATAGTGATCCTCCTTTCTCAGCCTCCCCAGCGCTGGGATTACAGGAGTGCCCTACCACTCCTGGACTTGGTTGAAACTCAGGGCACCCCAGGGGTGAGCCTGACGCGGCATAAAGGATTAAGGATCGAGCCCTGGTCCCCCTGGTCCCTGTGCTTACCAAGGCAGGCTCTTAGTCTGCTGAACTATCTTGCTGGCCCTATCATTTTCCATTTAAATTAGCATGATGTCAATTGAATTAATTTCAGGGTTCCACTTCCACGCCGTGCATACAATTCAGTTTTTCTAAGTGTTAAAGGCTGCTCTAATGGATGGCTGACTGGCTCAGGATAGAAAGCGCACATGAATAGTAGTGCGCATGACAACATGGCAGTCTGAAGCCACGGTCACCTTTCTAAAAAGACTTGGAGTGTGACTTGCACATTGGCTCGTTTGGCAGGGGTGTGGCTGTGACGGCTCAGTGTCTTGACCCTCCATCAGCGCCTTATGAGCTGGGAGGAGAACGGCCCACACCTTGGGCAGATCAGCTCGTAGAGACCAGGCGGCACTTAGCTTGTGCAGAGCACATGGCCTTCCTTTGCGAGCTCTTCTCTCCAAGGAAGTACCACTCGTCACTAGGCCAGGAGAGGCCAGGCACGTGGAGGAAAAGCCCAGGCATGTGTGCAGAGGCTAGTGTTACACTCATTGACATCAGTACGTTGAGAGTCTCCTTTCCTCCCAGTGTGGAGGTCACAGAGCCCACGTGTGGCCTGTTGACCATGTGGCACTCCTGAGTCGGAAGTCTGGGCAGAGGTTCTGCTGAGTAAGCATTTCTCAGAGCTCAAGTCATTCCACGGCCTTTCCTGCTTGGGCTGGAGCTTGGTGACTGGGAATCAGTGCCTGGAACAGATGTCCACTGCAGGGTGATGGGAACAGGAACTAAATCCCTTGAGAGACTCCAAGTGGGTTAGATAGGATCAAGGGCTCTGTGTTCTCTTATAATCCCCTGCTATTTCTGCTGTTTGTTCTAGAATTGACCTACTGCCTGACCAGGTCACCAAGGTAACGCTGGGACGATTGCACTTCAGTGAAACCACTGCCAACAACATGAGGAAGAAGGGGAAACCGAACCCTGAGCAGAGGTACCAGTGCCCGTGGGCACAGTGTCTGTCCTGCAGTGGCTTGTGGGGACCCTCTGGTGCTCATATGTGCCTGCCTCATTACTGCTTTGGGCTGAAGATTCACTGCATTCCTCAATCCTGTGTGCTGGCTGATGCTGAGAGGCTGCTGCAACCTTTTGGATTAAAAAGAAAACACCTTTGCCCACATGATTTAGACCCATATTTCTCAAGGCACGGTTTGTAGGACTGATGGAGATGGCGAGACTTGAACGCTTGTGAAAAATGCAGATCCCCTCACCTCACTAAACCGCTCATGAATAAAACCTCAAGAGGTGGAGCTTAGCAATTTGTATCTTAACAAATGCTCCCAGTATAGGAACAGCTAGATAGCTCAACGGACTAAAGCGCCTGCTTAGACAGAGCTCAGGGGCCGGGGTTTGATTCCTGGCTTGCCATGCTGGCCCCACCCCCGAGGTGTGCTGAGACAGGGCATGGTGGCACGCACCTGTAATCCCAGCTCTTGGGAGGCTGAACGCAGGTAAATCATTATGAGTCTGATTTACATAGTGAGACCCTGTAGATAGTATAGACTCTGTACTAAAATACAAAAAAGAAAGAAAGGAAGAAGGGAAGAGAGAAAGAAAAGAAATAGACTAATCTAAGATTGTCTCATCAGTTGTCTGTGTGAAGAAGCAATTGAAACAACAGGAATAAATATTGCCTTAAGAACAATTGGAAAGGGCCAGGGAGATAGCTCAGCAGCACAAGCACCTGCCTGGCAAGCACAGGTCCTAAGTTCAATTTCTCTTTCTTCTTCTTCTTCTTCTTCTTCTTCTTCTTCTTCTTCTTCTTCTTCTTCTTCTTCTTCTTCTTCTTCTTCTTCTTCTTCTTCCTCCTC